TTGGTCCCCATGGTAACAACATCGTTGGGCATCTATTAGGCCAGTTACTATGTCAAGTGCTTAACTTGGACCATCTCATTTAAGAACCTTTTAAGGTGGCCACAAAATCATTCCCATATTATAGATGAAGAAACCAAAGCTAATGTCACTTGCCCGAAGGATCCAGCTAGTAAGACAAATGAACAGGCCTGAAGCTGAGGTCTGGCTGGCTTCAGAACCTACTCTTCCTGCCCTGTCATCCACAACATGCAGCAGTATACTTCAGTCAGGGGCAGGCCAGGTTCTGGGCTGTGTGGAGGAGAGAACTGCTTCCAAAGAGAAGTGTATCATCAGCCCTGGGTCCAAGGCCAGAGCAGGGCTGCTCAGCACTGCATCTCCTGGCTCCTTGCCCTGTTCCACACAGAACTGACCTAGTCACAGTCTGGGATCCCAGTCCTGCATTTTGTTTCCTGGAGATTCTTGGTTTGTACTGGCTTTTCTGAAACCCTGAACAATGGAGCTTCAATCAGACAAGAGTATCAGCACTTTATTCCACTCTAAAACACAGTGAACTCTGAATTGATCTGAAACGGAGGCTTCTAGCGGGAGTGTAGTGAGGAACTTGGCCGATGCCAGGCATCTGTCTCCTGCCCCCACTCCCACCCCTGGCCAGCTAATGCTGAGGCAAAGAACCTTTCCGACCACATCACACGCTCGGGAAGCTTCCTGGACACTTTGCCTTTGGTAACAGATGTAGATACCTAGTGCCATCAGCATTCTGGGCCCTGGGCGGCTCTTCATTTTCTCTGGTAAAAAGTGAAATAATTGAAAACAGTGCTCTAAAAACATCTATAAATGGGTGGGCGCCAGTTGTCATTTTCCCCTTCCTGTGCCTGCTTCCCCTCCCTTGACTGACTTAATGAGGATCCAAGCTGAGAAGCGATCGCTGCAAACAGCTGCTAGCATCATGCCTTTAAATAGCCCTCGCCACACTTCCCCCTTGGAGGCACAGTTTGCCCTGGCAGGGAAAGCCCGGGACACACAGGAAACTTCAGAATTTTCTGCAAAGGAAAGAGCTTGCCTCTCAGCCGTGCTCCCTGGTGCAAAGACCTCGCAGCCCCTTGCTCAGAAGTGTTCCTAGGAACACAAAACTGGGCAGCTGAATAGCTCAGAACCTGGGAGGGATGGCAGTGGACTCCTTGGGACTATGACTGCCAGACTCCGGCCGCTGCCCGGAACAGCCGGCACCATCCACTCACCAGCCATGTTGGTGCACTGCTGGAGCCTAACTACGGTCTCTTCCCTGTGTGTGACCACAGTGACCCTGTCCACAGTGACATTGAAGAAGGGCTACATAGGCTGGCGGCAGCCTGTTCTCTCTGATTCTCAGCTATGGGGGTTAGCTCTCCTCTTCCACACATCTAGGCTGTTGGGAAAATAGAAGCCACTGGAACACATAAAGAATGAACGCCCATCATGTCTGGCTGGCAGCCAGGGTTGCCACACTGACCATTGTGAGCCTTGCGTCAGGGCTTCTCTTGGTCCGTCCAGCTTTGTTCTAGGTAAGAGACTCCTCCCGCTGCATCACAGCCCTTCTTTTGCATTAAGAATGTTTGGTCTCAGGCTGGAGAGATGGCTCAGCGGTTAAGAGCATTGCCTGCTCTTCCAGAGCACCCAGGTTCAATTCCCAGCACCCACATGGCAGCTCACAGCTGTCTGTGATTCTAGTTCCAGGAGACCCAACACTCATGGCAAAACACCAATGTACATAAACTATAAATAAATAAATATTTTTTAAAAAGAGTTTGGCCTGGTGAAGCTGTTCGCAGTGTTTTAGAGTCGGATGTCAGAGAATGACAGTGATTTAGCCACAGCGGTGTTTTGTCTGTCTTCCGCTCCGATTCCTGGTACAAATGGAAATTTAGAAATGGACCAGTTTTCTCTGTTAGCGCAGAAACACTGCATTTACTGGTGCAGTATTCTTCTCTCACCCACCTTCTTCAACAGTTAGTAATACATGTGCTTAAGCCAACCCTTGCCTACCAGTGGCCATCATGAGCTGTAGTCATTAAAGCCACCACGGACAACATGCTGAACCAGATCTAAGCCATTTTTATAGGGGTTAGCAATGCGGCCTGTCAGGGAGGATGTGTGAATCTGGGGGCCAATGCCGTGAAAACATAAGAAATGACTTTGTGCAGAAGAGAATAATCTGGTGCTCAAGAGGCTTGGGAAGCAAGAGCATCTAGCCTAAATGGGCAGAAAGGTAGAAAGTGTGTGTGAGAGGAAGTAGTCAAGTGGGAGAGGATGGGGCACATACATAGACTTGGGGCTCATTTACTAAACTGTGGGTGGGCTTAGAAGAGTGTGTCATCCCTTAGTTGTGTAAGATATGTGTAAAGAAATGGAAGGGTGTGCATTTTTCTGAGGAAAGGAGGGTCCTTTGTTTTCTTTACTTTTTAAAGGAATCTATACCTCAAAAGAGTTGAATGGATCTATTTTTTTTTAAAAAAAAAAAAAAAAAGCAAACAAGTGGAAGCCAGATAGTGAGAAGCCCTGAGAGACAGGATGAGAGTTTGGAGAACAGTAAGGTCTCAGTCAGGGTGTTGACAGAGACAGTTCATCTCTCTGCAACAGAAAGGCATGGCTGGCTTGTGTCCTAAAGGAAGTGGGCTTCTGCAGCAATTTTGTTAAAAGGTAGCAAGATTGGAACAGGAGTGTCACCAAGAACAAAGAGATGTTTAAGGGTGGATTCCCTGCAAAGATTTAGGGAGCCTTGGAAACCAAAAGCTCTCTTACAGAAGTGCAAACTGTCCCGAGCGTCTTCCAGGTCAGAATGTCCTGCAGGTGGTTGGGACTGTGTGACTGGAAATTTGGGAGGGGAAGAAGGGTGGGGACCAGGCTAGAGAGTCGTGAACGTGAAGCAAGCCTTCACTCATGAACTGGCTCTCCGTGAAGGGCGTGGAGAGCGGAGCAAGACAAGCACCAAGAAAAGTGTGTCTGGGAGAGAGGGAGAGGGAGAGAGAGAGAGAGAGAGAGAGAGAGAGAGAGAGAGAGAGAGCGAGCACTTCCAGAGAGGACGGTCGTTTCTAAATGCCACTGAAAGGACCGGTCAGCGCAGAGGACAAAAGCAGGGGCGAGAAGACAGAGGAGAAAGGGGGCAAAGGAGAGAGAGAAGGGCTGTTCGCCACAGAGGAACAAAGGACACTGGATAGAGAGGAGAGGGATGTGGTCCATAGGCAAATGGTGGTTTAGAAAGGGGAAAGGGAAAACCCTGTTAGGATGAGGTGTTTAATTTTGATTGGACAGGTTAATTAGGGCACCCAAAAGGGGGCTTTTGATTGTTGGGCTTCAATACTTTGATTGCTGGACCTTGGTGGTCAGCCTCAGGAGGAGGAAGTAACAAAATAAGGGAATAGACCTTGGTGGTTAGCTTTAGGAATGTAATCTAATGGTTTTTTTTTTCTTTTTAGCAAGGCAAAGAAGGGTAAAAGGCAAAACCTGTCAGCGCCATGTTTGGGCCTGCTAGAGCCCTTCTGGTACCAGGACTGAAAAGCCCCAACATTCAGAGCAACCTAATTAGAAGGGATCAGTGGAGCTGGTGGAGGAGGAGGGCAGTGTATCATCAATAACTGCATTCAGTCTGGTCTAGAGATGACCGCCCCAGGACCTGTTGGGTTGAGGGACACTCACTATGCCGTGTCCCAGGCCATGTGCTGGAGCTGATGCCAGCTGCCTGTGCTCTCTCAATTGGCTCTGTTGCCCTTCCCCTCGGTACTCAGTACTGAATCTGTCCCCTCAGTACTCAGTACTCTGTGCCCGTCCCCTCAGTACTCAGTACTCTGTGCCCGTCCCCTCAGTACTCAGTACTCTGTGCCCTTCCCCTCGGTACTCAGTACTCTGTGCCCTTCCCCTCGGTACTCAGTACTCTGTGCCCTTCCCCTCGGTACTCAGGACTCTGTGCCCTTCCCCTCGGTACTCAGTGCTCTGTGCCCTTCCCCTCGGCACTCAGTACTCTGTGCCCTTCCCCTCGGCACTCAGTACTCTGTGCCCTTCCCCTCGGTACTCAGGCAGATGTACTTCTACTCCTGGTCAGCGCCTCCACACCTAACTTGGTGCTCCTTACCACCCCCTGAGATGTATCTATCACCCACCTCAGTGTTGATTCTGTGTCTGAGCCTCCTCCTCAGAACTGGTCTCCTACATGGCAGGTCTCACCTCTGGGTTACTCAGTACCTGACACAGAGTAGGCTCAGCACAGTCCGTCTGCTGACGTGGAACATGGCTTTCTCTCTGCAGAGTAGAAATCTGGGTGTCTGGGTCAACCATGGTAGCTCATATCTGTAATACAGTCACTGAGTAAACTGAGACAGGAGAATTACTGGGAGTTAGGGGCCAGCCTAGGGTTTTGAGTTCTTGGCTTGCCTCAGCTATGTAGTAAGGGCCAGACTAGCTTGGCTACAGAGTAACACCTTATCTAAATTGAAAAAATTGGGTATCCAGAAAGTCATATGTTCTCTCCCAGATTCTGTCTTTAGAAGGTTCTCCCAAAACCCAGCCAGGAAACTAAACTGCATGTGTGTTTTAGAAATAAATATAGACCATAACTCATTTTGGAATCCTTATTAGACCTTTATGAAGTCCCAGATTCAACTTAGGAGAATATGACCCTGATGATATCTTCAATCATGGAAATGACTGGGTGTCACTGTGGCTCTCTGACCTACAACTTGGATCAAACCCCATCTTTCTCCTAGGAAAGGCAGTAGACTCTCAGAGTGAGTGTCTAGTAAACCTGGCAGGCAGGAAGGTCATCAGACAGGCCCCTTGAATTCCCAGGAGAGGGCGAACAGGGGTGAGCCGCACACACCTCCCTTAAACAGTCCAGAGGCTTTGCCTCTGAGAGGAGGAGGAGAGTAAATCACAACTGTTCTGAGTTAGGTCGCAAGCTCTGAGTCGCATTTTTTTGTTCAAGATGTTTGTGCTAACCACAGTTTTATTTCTCCCTTCTTTCCCACCAGGGCTTATTTCAAAACCTTTGTCCCTCAGTTCCAGGAGGCTGCATTTGCCAATGGAAAGCTCTAGGAAACACCAGTGTTGAGAGGCAGCCAACCAGACTGCTCCGTCCACACGCTGTCAGCACGCAGGCCGCTTCCTGGAAGCCACTTGGGAAGTCTTGGTGGCGGTCTTTGCTCGCACAGCAGCACTGCCTGCCCCACACAACCCTACTCTGCTGGAGCCCAAACTTGAGCTGGCTGGTAGTACCCCGAATCCTAGCACCCATCATTGCTGGTTGCTCCCTCTATCCTCTTCATATTTTTTAGCCAGAAGAAATAAACTCCTTTCCGATGCAGAAATCTTCCAGGGAAAATAAAATGTCATGACCGCACACCCCCTTCTCTCAAGTCTTTGTCCTAAAGGCTTTCAAAGTTTAAATTTTGGTTGAACACCCTTGACTTCTCCCTACCCACCTAAACTAGTGTCAAGTTTGTGTGCTCCCCAACAGTTACATTTCCAGTTGGAGAAGTCTTTTACTGGAGAAGAAGTGACCAAAAAATTTTGAATCTCTAGGGTTCAGTTGCCCACTCCACAAGCCCAGCACCAGCACTCAGTAATTCTTGGATTCCAGCACCGTGCCGGTCACCACCTCCTTTGTGGGTTCTAGTCTTTCCGATCTTTCTGGGCTTGTGGGAGCTGCTTGAGCTATTGTGACGCTATATGCATTATTTATGGGAGACAAAAATCTGGGGGTCAAGGACTGTCATTGGTGGGTGTCTCACATCTCACCTCAGGCTGGGCAGCTCTGCAGCCAAGCAGATTCAAAGCTGGGGAAGCCAGGCATGTGGGGCCTGCTTGTCACCCCAGCGCTCAGAAGAATTGAGCAGGGGGATCACAAGTTTGAGGCCAGTCCGGGCTACATAGCAAGACCGTTTCAGAAGCCTTGGTGGTGGTCTCCCACTTCGTCCTCTACCACTCCCATCCGTGTTCAGAGGGAAGAATGGTAGCCAGGGGACTCTGGGAACTCCACACAAGGCAACAATGGTGTGCAAGGAGCAGCTGGGCCTCATAGAGCTTCCCACTGGACCACTTGACAAGGCCTGCACACACAGTTCAGCATAGTGTTCCTGCCCTGAAGGCAGCCTGCAGTGCACAGAAGGGCAAGAGAACCAAGAGCTGAGTGACTGGCCTGACTCCCTCCGGCTCTGTGAAGCTGAGGTTCCTCTTGCGGGGTACATTCAGCCCTGCTGGGACTTCGCCTGTTCCCTTGGCCCAGCGGTGGCTCTTAGAGTCAGGTTTTACCACATGAGCCCAGACAGGAAGGAGCTCTATCTTCCCTCTATCCCCCAGAACCAACAGTGTTCTCAAGAAGCTAGAAAGGAGCTGAAACAGATGTGTGATCTGGGCTGTCAGCTGGGGAGCTGCCCATCCTCACAGGGGTGCTTTGCTCGCTGCCCTTGGGAATTCCCAGGACGGAGTAATCCTGCATCCACATCTTGCTCTGCCATGAACTGGCTGTATGACTCAAGTCTGTCAGTCCCTTTGCGTCCGTAATACTAGAAGTGGGGCTAAACCAAATACTGGCCTCAGCTCACCAGAATCTCCCAGGGAGCTTTTCGAGAACTCCTGTACTCGTCCCCGCTGTAGGACTGTGAGCAGACTCACACGAACTGGAGTGTGGGCCTCTAGAGTATAGTGGAACTCCCCGAGGAGTCTGTTGGGTGGTTCACACTGGAGTCTCTTCTTGTCATTCCCTCTCCAGGGCAGATGTGTGCTGAGCTCCAATACCTCCCCCTAAGGCAGCGGTTGGTCTCAACCTTCCTAATGCTGCGACCCTTTAACACAGCTCCCCATGTTGTGGTGACCCCCCAACCATAAAATTATTTTCATTGCTACTTCATAACTATAATTTTTCTACTGCTATGAATCATAAATATCTGTTTTCCCATGGTCTTAGGTGACCCCTGTGAAAGGGTCATTTGACCTACAATCTTGACCCACAGGTCGAAAAACATTGCCTTAAGGCTCCATGACATAGTTGCTTAGGATTATTCTAGCTACCCTGTAACCAAGGAGGGGCATGCATTGGGCTTTACTGGCCACTGAGTGAAGAGCTGATGGAACCAGGATTCCTTGGGACCTGGCAGGCATGGCCAGCTCTGGGGTGGGGTGGTATATACAGAGACTGACCCTCTGCACCTCAAATAGCAGAGCCTGCAGCCCGTACCAGAGCCCACAGCCTGTAGCAGAGCCCTCAGCCCGTAGCAGAACCCGCAGCCTGTAGCAGCAGTACAATCTGCAGCTGTCCCCATTTTGCCCTTGTTAATCTTTAGGGTTGGCATGCCCAGGCTAGCCAGATGGTTAATGGCATCCTTGCCTCTGAGTGAGGCAGACCCAGTCTGTCTAGAAAGCACTGTCTCAGGGCAGGCTCAGGATAACTTCATAGGTAAGCCAGTGGCAGAGAATCAAGTCCTGACCAGCGGACAAGGAAACAGCATCAGAGGGGTTGAATGTGTCAACCCATCAACACCAGCCAGGCAAGACAGAGCCCAGATCAGAATTCTCCCCAGGTGAGGGGTTACCTTACGGGGGACCTTAAGCAACCACTCTGGATGATCTACTGTACCCCGCATGCACGATGACTCCATGACTGTGTAGCCAGTCCCCTCCCCTAATCCTCCGCTCCCTAAATCCTCTAGTTCAGTGGTTCTCAGCCTTCTTAGTGCTGTGACCCTTTAACACAGTTCCTCATGTTGTGGTGACCCCATAAAATTATTTCAGTGCTACTTCATAACTGTAATTCTCCTGTTATGAATTGTAACGTAAATCTGTTTTCCAGTGGTCTAAGGTGACCCCCAGAGGGATTATGACCCACAGGTTGAGAACCAGTGCTTTATCCCTTCTCAGAGCCTCCAGGTTGGGCAGAATTGTTTACAGTTGGTTTGGGGAGTGACCTCTGGATACTCAGGTGATGGTCCATAGCCCTCCTAGCCTCCTCCTTCCGGGGGGGAGCATCAGCAGTCAACAGCCCATCTGTGATGATGGGAGCAGGCGGACACCCATGGGTCTGGGGACCACAATGAGGCTCATTTATCTTTCCCAGGAAAGAGTGATGTGCTATGCATAAGTTTGGGGATAAGAGGCGGTGTTCACAAAGACGGTCAGCTCTCTTCCTCCAGGGAGAGTTTGGACTGATCTTAAGGGGAAACGGGGCCAGAGAGATGACTTGGCGGGTAGAAAGCACTTGCCACGCGAGCTCAATGGCCTCAGTTCAGCCCTCAGAACCCACAGTGAAGGTCGTGTCTGCATCTGTAATCACGATGCTCCTATGCTGAGTTAGGAGACAGAGACACGGGGCAGGAGGTCTCAAAGACAGCAAAGGGGCAGAAAGAAGACAGAAAAACCTTGCCTCCAAACAAGGTGGAGGGAGAGAACCAGGCCCTAGGGATTTGTCCTCTCAACTCCACACATATGCTTTGGTAAGGCTCTCTCTCTCTCTCTCTCTCTCTCTCTCACACACACACACACACACACACACACGAAAAAAATCAACCATCACGACTTCATATGGATTCAGACACTAGGCTGTGTGATTTTTACGCCAGTGGAGTGAGGGTCCTTGCGTGCTTTTATAGTTTGTGGCTTTGCCCATCAGGAAGCATTATACCTGCTCCCAGAGTACAGCAGAGGACTAATTAGTGAATGGCTATAAAATGCTTTCGAGAAGCCAAGTGCCACAGAGGAGAGCGCATTATTACTACCTTGTAAATCCCACCTAAATTACTCAGCCCTTGTAATTTAAGGCAAGCCAAACTGCTGCCATCTTTGCTGGGCTTGCTCCCACAAGAGCATCCCAGGTGGGCTTTTGTTGACGGTTGTTGCCTCTTGGAGGGAAGGGGCTGGGAGGGCCATGGGATCACTGGAGTATGCAGAAACCACACCTACAAACCAGGTGTATGCAATTCTTCCCTAACTGCCATGGTCCTGCAGCCCCTGAGGACTAGAGGGTTTAGGGAGAGAAGGATTAGGGGAGGGGACTTCCCACACAGCCATGAAGGAGTCATCTTGCATGCTAGGTGCAGACCTTCCATTGTGACCCATTGCTCAATTACACCTGATAAACCCATTTGGTTCCCTGGAGTGAACTTTGGTGGCTCACACCCCGGCTTGACTTGAGGAGGAGGGAGTAGGCAGTGGACGGTCACACCTCCCCAAGGAAAGGATTTGCAGCAAAAAGTGTGTTTACTAATACTTGAGTTTACTAATACTGTCCCAAAAGGAGTAATAGACCGTAGTTAGTTCCACCGACTTTGAGCAATGAGGCTTCCCAGGCCCTAGTGTCTACACTGAAGCCGACTTCCTGAGACGTAATCTGCAATCAGTGTGAGCTTCCGAATGAGGAAGACTTTTACTTCAAGTCTTGGATCTGTCCACTTAGCAGCTGATAGCTATCTAACGACCAACTCACTTGTGATTTAAAGGAAAAAAAAAAAACAGACAAAAACCAGGGACCCTGCATACTGCGGCCTGCTTGCCAATTCCCAAGTGTAAATAAATAACCCCACCAGAATCAGCTTCAAGCCACTCACACGAAGTCACTCATGCAGAACCAGGAGGCCCTTGGATGGGAGCTCGGTCGGGCAGTCAGCTCCGGCGAGTGCTGCCACTTAACTGCGCTTTCTTACCCTCACCCCTGAAAGAGGGAGTAGACCCCAGTGGAGAAGACACACCAGGTACCAAGTGGGGAGCCTGGCTCTCAGTAGTGTTTGAGAAACAGTAGCTATTATTCCTACAGACCTGAGAGAGGGTTTTCTGGTGTTGATGTTGGCCTTTTTCTAGAAAGTCAGAATACCCCTGTTAAAAAAAATTCTGCCCGTGAACATGGCCTTTGGAAGGGTGACCCCATCTGGATTACCAGGAAGACAAAATGAGTCATCCTGTGGCTTGAGGAATGAGAGTCCTTTGTGGGAACACCCTCCCCCCCATATGTGTGTGTCTGTCTGTCTCTCTCACTAACACAGGCACACAGGGAGATAGGTCTTGCTTTAACTCGGCAGGATTCGGGGCTGCACCAGAGAAACATGACCCAGTGACCCACTTCTCCCCTGGCCCCTGCTTTCTCACGGCAGAGCAATCAGAGCTACGCAGTTCACAATCCCTCTGACTCAGTTTCAGTTCCTGCCGACTGCAGGCTCTCAAGAGCTACCCCTTTGCCAGCACAGGGCACCGTGGCAACACTGGATTTGCTTCTGGCATGCGATTAGAAATAGAAGCAGCCCTGAGGAACCTGCTCCAGTCCTGAGGACAGGGTCATCCCCCAGCCTGACACAGGGAAGTTAGGAACAGTGTCTAATGGTGAGATACCATTTTTTGACGCTTTTAATAGCGTCA